CTAGAAATGCTCTACAAATCAAGGGACCCAGAATGTAGAATGACCTTCCCAACCATGTTAAAGAGTGTGTACCTCTCTCAACCAGTTTAAGATAAAAACTAAGCACTACCTAATAAATTCCCTGTAACCTACCTTACCCCTCTATTGTCAACCCATGTCTGTTTTTTTTAAACAACGCTGTTTGTCGACCTAATTGTATTTGTGCTGCTTTTTCAGCCATGTTCCCCCCCTTTTTTATCTCTATTTTTATTTGTTCTCAACACATTTTATTCTTTATACTCAATTAGTATTAAGCTTTAGTCATTTAAGTTTTTCATGCCCGAAACGCTTTGCGTAATAGTGGCTTATATATATATATATATATATATATATATATATATATATATATATATATATATATATATATATATATATATATATATATATATATATATATATATATATATATATTTAATACACTATTTTAGGCCTCAGATAGCGTATATTAGGCCTAGGAAAGTTAGGTTAATTTAGATTGTCTTTGCAACATAAATACAAAACCTTTTCCCGGTTTGTCCACATTCCCGGTTTGTAATAACGATTTCTACTTTCTAATTGTTCATTACGTCATATATGTTCTTATCGTTACTATAAGTACTAACTAAACGGGAGGATGGGCTAGAATATGCCACTAAATAATCATGTTACTTACCTTCCTTTTTTAGAAAACATTTCTCCAAGAGGGAGAAGCTAAGCATACTCTTGGTGGTGTACTCTGACGACCTGTGGGCATTTAATACAGCCGGAGTGATGAACAAAATAGGGGAGTTGTTCCTCTCGTTGTTTTCAATATATTCTCTGAGGCAGAGAGGGAGGCTGCTCTTGGGTACCAGACCGGGACACTCATCCCATCTACAGACTGGAAGCATGTTAAAAGGTGTTGAGTAATTTCTGAAGTTAATACATGCACATTATCTGACGATGACGTATGTAAACATTAAACAAAAGATACTCACTGTCCCATGCTAAATAAATAAGTCATGACCAAAAAGATTTGACAAAAGTATTCATTTAGTAACCTTTAGATTACTAAAGAAATACTTGAATTAAACAATAAAATGCATGAATATGAGAAGAAATACAGAATAGTGGCCATCTGCAGAGAACTGTTTAAGAGGTACTAATGTTGCTAAGATAATAAAAATGCCAAGACAAGCTACTATGAAAATAAATTACATCAAATTAAGGTTAACATGAAAAAAATGTGAGACAGAGTTTCCAAAATATTAGAGCCAAAGAAGAACTAGAATTAAAAACAATATTCCTAGCTGCAAATGGTTTAATGCTATCAATCACTTACACTGCTGCTAATTTCAATAGTTTTTTCTCGTCCACTGCAAATGGGATGCCAGCATCTCAAACAAATGTAAATGACTACCTCTCTGGCAGCTATATTGAGTCTCTGTACCTATCCCTAGTCTCCTATCCTCAGATATTAATGATATAATCCTCTCACTTCAAACTAACACCAGAAACCTTTCTGAAATACCAACCCTAATTTATAAAAAAGCTTCAAGGTTTTCAGCTTGAGCCATAGCATTGCTCAACAACAAATCACTTGAGCTCTGAGTCTTCGAAGATATTCTTAATTCAGCTTCAGTTGTAACAGTGCAAGTGTCTTGCACTCTTTCATGTATAATTGTGAATTGTAATTGTGAGTTGTGTGTGTGCGTGAGAGCGTGTTTGGTGAGGAGCGAGATGGTAGTGGGTGAGGTGAGCCGGCACAGCTTTTGCTGACAGCAATACTTTTCAACAAGGAAGCTTGTTGAAAAGTTTGCTTTTCTGGCTTGCCACAGTACCCAGCTTCCCCACGCTGGGGGTGGCTGGGAGATTCAGTCAGAGACAGTCTGGCACAGAGGGAAGGTAACCACCCAACTTTTCCCCGATTTTCACCCTGATGGGTAACAGGCACCCAACAGGGTGCATCCATCTGAGTTGTGAGGTAAGAGTGCCAGTATTGCTTGTTTTGAACAGTAGTGTCTTAGAGATGACGAGTGTAGTCTGATTCATAAAGTAAGTGTATGGTTGAGGATGTTGAGGATTGGTGGATTTCTTGGGTTGATTAATTCAATGTTAAATAGTAATTTATTAAAGTGTTCAAAAGCGCAGAACTAAGTGTTAAAGTCTAAAATGGAGATAATTTGGTATAATAAATGTCTAAGTGTAGAATAACAAGTGTGAGCTTTGTTTTCCCCGTTTTTAAATCAATGTCCCATGACAAAGTATTTATAAGATGACCAGTGATACGGATCTCTCAAGTAAAACTAGAGTAGAGTTAAGACTAGAGATAACTAGGTGGAGCATTGAGGGAGGCGCGGGAGACTGAGTGAGGGATGGTGGCCTGGCGAGAGGTAGCTCCCCTCACCTCCCCAGCCTGCACGTTACTCATGAAGTTATTCAGTAAATGGTGCTCCGGTCGCATTATTTAGTAGAAGTGGAAAATGTGGTCTAGAACTGGCAGGATGGTGGTGGGAATTAAAACAAAAATTAACATCAATAAAACATCATAGAAAAACATCACTCTACTCTCCCTACTCCTACTTACTCTTACCCTTCTTCTATTCCTCCTCTCTCCTCCTCCTTCCTTCTCTCCTCCTACCTCCACCCTTCCCGCACGCCCCTCGTTTTTTGTAGCCAGACAGACGAGTTCCCCCTCTACCTTATCCATGTCTATCCCCTCTCTTTTCTTCCCTCCCCCTCCCCTCCTTCTTTACTTTTGCTTTACTTCTCACCATCACAAAGTAGATTGAAAAATTTTAATACCTGTTTTTTATGTACTCCGTTTCATGCTTATATTCGTTTTTGGGTGAGGTGATATGATACAAATGTTTTTGGGTGAGGTGATATGATACAAATGTTTTTGGGTGAGGTGATATGATACAAATGTTTTTGGGTGAGGTGATATGATACAAATGTTTTTGGGTGAGGTGATATGATACAAATCAATGGGAAAAGACACAAAACAATGGGTATATACCATAGGTATACATTCCATCTACTTGCTTCTGTGATGGTTCGGGGTCTTGAAGTGCGTAGAATGTAATTATGTGTTAATTGGTTGTTGATTGCTTTTTTGAATTTTTGATGTGTAGGGCCTCGCTGATGTCGAGTCTCCTGTTATCGTTGTATCTGTTGATAATTTCTGTGTTCCTTGTTAAGAATTCTCTGGTGATGGTCTGGTTATGTGAGGAGATTATATGCTCCTTGAAGGAGCCCTGGTGTTTATGCACTATATAAATTCTGCCAATCTTGTCAAAAATAGTTGAAAAACTAATCTAGAAGCAGTTTTTCTGTTATCTAGCCAAACTCAATATACTTAGCTCTTGTCAATATGGCTTCAGACCCCAAAAAAAACACTAACGATGTACTTATTAGTATGATTAACTTGATACATGCAGCTCTTGATAAAAATGAGTTCCTGTTGGGTTATTTGTGGACCTGCGTAAGGCTTTTGACACTGTCAATCACCAAAACTTTCTTCTTAAATTACAGCATTATGGAGTCACAGGTCACTCCCTGCAATACCTTAAGTCTTACCTTACTGACAGGGTCCAGTATGTTTCTGTGACTAATTCAATTTCTCCCACCCTACCCATCAACATCAGTATTCCTCAGGGCAGCATACTTGGCCCTCTCCTCTTCCTCATCTACATTAATGACCTTCCAAATACCTCCCAACATCTCAAACCAATTCTATTTGCTGACGACATGACCTTCATTTACTCCAGTCCTGATCGACTCCCTTGCTCTAAATGTCACTGTGAAAACTGAGCTAAATAAAGTCCATCTTTGGCTAACTGCCAACAAAATCATCCTCAATATTGACAAAACTTTCTATATTTTGTTTGGCAATAAATCCTCAAATCAAATAAATCTCAGGATTAATAATACCCAAATTTGTAACAAAGTAGATATCAAATTCCTTGGCATTCTCATTGACCGCAAGCTGGATTTCCAGGGACACATTCTAAATATATCAAAAAGTTAAAAAAACTGTTGCATTCTTTCTAAGATCAGATATTTTTTGGCAAAATATATATGTTTGGCACAGATATGATATATGTTTGGCAAAAGAGAGAGAAAGAGAGTGAGAGAGAGAAAGAGAGTGAGAGAGAGAAAGAGAGTGAGAGAGAGAAAGAGAGTGAGAGAGAGAGAGAGAGAGAGAGAGAGAGAGAG